GCGTATACAAATCTCATCAAAGATACGATGATCGTAATTTTGTACGCAAGACGCTCGTTACATCTACAAAAGACTCATCAGTGACGCTAGAATAAAAAAAAATAAATGGCCAGATATAGTATGAAGTTAAAGAGATCTAGAATTGCGACCAAAAATTCCAAAGGTTTTGCCAAATACAGCTATGGTTAACAACTATTAGTCATCGTACGGCCTTAACAATACCAAAACCCTTAACGCATAGCCAATTATAAAACGCCAGGGAATGGAAAACGTTAAACAATTTAAACGAGAAAGCGGCCTGATAAAAGTAAAAAATGAAAAACAAAAACGATATACAGGAATGATAAACTCATCTTAGATACATGGCTTAAATTGTTGTACGTTAGACGAGCGTTTCGTCTACGAAATAATCAAATAAAAACGAAAATGCAGAGAATTGAGAACTTACAATTCATACGACAACCATTGACCTTTAGGCTCCTGGCTTTTGAGGACAGTGTTTCTTTGACAATAATGTTTCACATTACGGATTGTGCAGAATTCTGGCACACTCCCCTTATACGGTTTTGTGATGCCACTAAGGTCAACAGAATGATGACAACAGATTTAGATTTAAAATACTAGTAATGATTTCGGGCAAATGTATTATTTTTGTGTTTTCATTTCTTGCTGCGTGAACAAAAATGCACGAACTATTGATAATAGGAAATAATATTAAGGGAAAAGATGATATCTGTTCAAGGATTTACACATATCTTGCAATAATAAATATATATGGTAACAGCTATATAGTCACGCTAAGTAGCCGCTCAGAATTTGCCGAAAAACGCCAACAACTGAATTGATAACAGGCTCCTGGCCTTGACCAGGCATATAAGAATATGGCTGGGTTTATTTTTTTTAATGAATTTATCGCATTAGAAGAAGAAAAGAAGATGGGTTGACGTCAATGAGACCACTACCCAACAACAGGTTATAATTGAGCAACTATTATTACACCCATTGACACTTATTCAAATGAATGTAATGGAAATTGTTATTCATTTGATAACTTACATCGCTGATTGCCTCATTAATTCTATTCAAATGTTTTGTTGGTAGTTAATTTTTAAAAGTACATTTACATTGTATTATGACGGATGGAATATTTAATGTATTGAAAGTGGTATTCATGTCAGAAACTTTCTAAAGTTTCTTTTTTAACTTTTTTGTTCCACATTTGGTAACAGTTTAGCATTAGTTAGTTAAGTATCGGTGGATGTTTTGGTATTTTAAATGGGGCAGTTGTTGCCTTAGGGGTTAACAGATCCAGATAATATTGGTTTCCTGTAATCAGCCTTTATACATTTAATCAAAAAAATATTTCAAATACATTTATCCCTCAAATCCTTTTTTAAATGTAAAGAATGTATGGTACTGTCTGTCATATTTAACCGAAATCCTCATATCTGTCAATATCGTTTTATATATACATGTACATGTAATGAATATATACAAACTTGTAGAAACCCAATCAACAATATTTATTTGCTACTACAAGTTAGGCAGCACTCATTATTTTTTTTAGGTAGGCTTTTTTGTTCTACGTTTCATTAGTAAAATATAAAAGGTAGTTTTTATTGATTTTTTCAAAGCAATGTTCAATTGAAACAAAATTTTGTTCATGTATGATACAGAATAAATGGTTGTCACAAGAACCCACCACACAAAAGACAAATAGATAAATGTATCTACATAGCATCATTACGATCCGTGCATGACATTTGTATTTTGCACAAGTATATAATTGCTATTTAGAATCATTATTATGTCTTTATGCTTTTTTTCAACTCCAAACTTTAAAAAGTTAAAAATCTCTAAATCATTCCAATAAAATATTTCGTGGAAGGGCAGATTAAAAAATTCAGAGGTTGAAGACTAATTATCCTAAAAATTTATTTTTTTTCAGTTATGCACAAAAAAATCAGCAAATTAAAGTTTGTCGTCAAGTGCTTTCAGAATAGATTTGTTATTCAAACACACCTACTCTGTTGTTATGACGTCATTAGAAAGGTATTTTACTTGACCAATATATTTCATTTTTTTGAACTGTGAATTTTTAATGTTATCATATCAACATGTAGCCTAAATATATAAAAATAATGGAATCTTAAGCGAACTGTGAATTTTTAATGTTATCATATCAACATGTAGCCTAAATATATAAAAAAAATGGAATCTTAAGCGAGATGATGCATCAAATATTTTGGCTTTAAACGTTTACAGGACAAAACAGTCAACTCAAACACACCTGAACATAAGAAGGTGTACCCGATTTTCTCTTTTCGATGAGATTGTTGCCCAATTTCATGATTTATTTTAACAAAAGTCTGTTACCGGGGACAGAGATGCAAATAAATATGCATTGAAAAGACCAATCTTTTATCTTTTTGTGGATTATTTAGGCGAAATTTATGGTGTGCAAAAAACCGATCCACTTTTTTGTGCACCTACCTTAAACACCTGTTTTGTGACAATTTATCTTTAATTTAAAAGTTTACAAATATTTCGAAGCGCCATACTAGATTTAAAGTATAACTACGCATGTACGATGCTAAAAAATCTAAAAAAGAGGGACGAAAGATACCAGAGGGACAGTCAAACTCATAGATCGAAAACAAACTGACAACGCTATGGCCAAAAATAAAAAGACAAACAGACAAATAATAGTACAGATGACACAACATAGAAAACTAAAAACTCAGCAACACGAACCCCACCAAAAACTGGGGGTGATCTCATGTGCTCCGGAAGGGTAAGCAGATCCTGCTCCACATGTGGCACCCGTCGTGTTGCTTATGTTATTACAAATCCGGTAAATAGTCAAATTCGGTAAGTCACATTCGTGAAAAGGGAAGGGTATTGTAGTTACGACATAAGGAACATATCCGATATCATCTGTGAAACGGTTATTCCATAACGGTCAACCAACTCGTGATGGCGTCCGTAAAATTTACGAAGGGATGATTTCAACTTCACCATTTGGAACTCTTGGCTTAAAAGCTTCCTTGTGAGCAGCAATCCTCTATCAAGGAAATCATGATAGGAAACACAAGCCCGGGAATATCGTATCAATTGGGAGATATATACTCCGTATGCAGGCGCTGCTGGAATGTTGCTACATAGAAATGGAAAGTTCACAATTGGGAAGCTGAAATCATCTCTTTTGTCGTAAAGTTTTGTTTTCAACCGACCCTCATTGTCAATTTCTAGATGTAAGTCAAGATATGAGGCAGACTTAACTGTATCTGTAGTATCCTTTATCTCTAGTTCGATGGGATAGATTCGTTCAACATAGTCACCAAATTTTGTACTATTTAGTGAGAGAACATCTTCTATATAGCGGAACGTAGAGTTAAAGGATATTGCTAACTTCTTATCTTTCTTCCTAAGAAGTTCCTGTATGAAGTCAGCCTCATTATAATAAAGAAACAAGTCGGCAAGAAGAGGGGCACAATTGGTTCCCATTGGAATTCCGACAGTCTGTTGAAAAACACGTCCTCCAAACGTAACAAATATGTTGTCAATCAAGAAATCAAGCATCTTGATAATGTCAGTTTCAGAGAATGTTTTGTTTGAATCAGAGTGATTCTTTACAAAGTAGGATTAATCCCTCCCCAAGACAAGATACTTGTATCTACGTTCGCCATTCTTTTTAATGAAATAAAGTAATACCAACTCTTTCAATTTGTCTTTTAGTTTGGTATGGGGAATACTTGTGTAAAGTGTAGAAAAGTCAAATGTTTTAATACTATTGCAAGATGAGAGAGTCTTAGATTGTATGTACTTTAAAAGATCTTTGGAATTTTTTAGTATCCACATCTGATTCACGCCACCTCTAGAATAGGCAGTTTCACAATAACTTTGGAGCCCGGCTTTGATAGTTGATAAAATAGATGTTAATAATTTAGAAAGAGGTTTCGTGGAGCACTTGGAAGACCCAGCAATATACCGTTGTTTGTAAGGACACTTATGTGGTTTAGGTATCCAATACAGTGATGGAAGATCCAGTTCTTCATCTTTGATTGAAATTCCAAAGGAACATAGAACATAGAACAGACCTATGATTATCCAGGATTTCCTCTTTGGTAAGTGTCGTGAGGGTATGCACCTACATCAAACCTTTAAAGCCCATAGAAAAGGATGAAAAGAAATTACAAAAAGCTTCAAATTATGGTAACAGTTATATAGTTGTTCTTTTTTAAATTTGACTAACTAGCCACTTTAAATTTCATTCTATTCAACAAAAAGATTTAACTGAATTTCTAGGACCGTGATCACCTGAGAATGAATTTGCACTGTATTTTCTTTTTATATATTAAAAGTTTCAGATCTTTCTAAAGTTTGGAAAAATAATTTTCATTGCTCTTTTTTGCTTTACTTACACTATTATTATTGTTTGAAATTTTAAAAAAGTTTTAAAATTGAGTATGTTATCCGCTACACCTCAAAGTCTAAGATCAACAATATGTATTTTCAAGATAATTTATCATATCTTCAAATAATATTGTTTCCTGATTTCAATTACAAATTTGGTTCAATGTTTATATCGCCAAACTTTATGATCTGATTTGAATGACGTATTATGACCTATTTAGCGTTTCATGAAATGCATAGCCTTATATTTAAATATATTATTATAGCTTTTTTTTCAAATGAAATGAATAGGTCAGTAGCAAAAAAAGTAAATGTAAGAAATTATTCAAACACCACTAAAATATTTTTGTTGTTTAAACAAAGATTTCTGATCAGGAAAATATTTTTTTAATTTTTTTCTGTTAATAGTGAGGCAATAAAGGAGACTGATATTAAAGTTTGTAAACCAATTTACTCGATGCAAGTATGACGTTTAGAACTTGATTGATGTTCATAATTACAAATATTGCAAAACTTACGTCACACCTGCACTGAACCATGTATTTCCTCTAGTACACAGGTTATTTCCTCATGTAGAGTGTATATAAGACAGAAATAAATTAAAGACTTCACAAAACATTTCTGTACACCGTTAAATAATAAATACATTCAAGGTAAGTCCTATGTTTAAAATAGATTTGGATCATTGAACTATCATAGATAATTTTATAAAATATATGCAATAAACGTTTGAGTTTAAAAAACGACAACGCCTATTTCGTAAAAGAAACGGATTCTTAGTATCAGATATGTAAGTTAAAATCCAATTATGATTTAAGCTTGAACTATTTCTGTGAAGATCAAATGATATAAAATCAAGGTAAAGAAGTCGGAAGGTACTAAAGGTACAACAAGAATTTTCATTATCAGTGGGAAAAACCCGAGGATTAACAGATCCTCTGATGTCATGTTGATCTTTTTAATAATATATTAAATTGCATTTATGACCTGCATTGATTTTACGGCGATTTCTGCTGTTAAGGTATGCAGCTCTCGTTTAATGCATCAAATATATTGGTAGAAAAATCATTATAAATAGAATTTTGAAACAATTTAAATTTAGTTGCATTTGTTTTAATATTCATTCCAGGTATATATAATGGAAGGGAAAGCTGTTATCATTTTCTTTGGATTTATAGCATGTGCTTTTGCTGGTATGTATCTTATTGTATTATATTTCCAATCTTCGCTTTATTGTTTAAATGATGATTTAATATTAATCAAAGAAATGAATATTCAGCAAAAAACATTCTAAAAACTACAGAACCAATATTCTAATAATAATAACAGACCAAATATTCTAAGAACATGACGAACCTTTCAAATCAACAGACAACTTTTGTTACGTCGTTACAATTCTTTGAAGACTTTTTTTAAGTATACCTTTACTCATAAGGAAAACATTGGAAAGACAAAGTAAATCGAATCATTTAAATAATTGTAGCAGGCAATACAAACATGACTTTTCGATTTCGAAAAAGGTAATAAAACAAAAAAAGTCCACAAAATCAAGTATGTTTATTGTTAACGAAATGAAATTTACGGTAAACTTTTCAAAAACAAATTACTACGAGAATGAGAAATATTTTAACCCTCACCCGGAACGCTGGAACCTTAAAATGACCTTTATTATATGAAATTATCAAAGCCACAATAAAATTTGTAATAAACACTGTGGGTAAAGAAACCCAATTAAGTCCAATCTCAGTTACATATTCCATTCTTTCTAATATCCATTCATTATTACAGTGTATCCAGTCAAGAAAGCTTGTGAAATTGAATGCTCGAGTCGTCTAGATTGCCAAACAGGTTACCATTGTCAAACAGTAGGATGTAATCGTTTGTGCAGACCTGAAAGAGTAATTTTATCAAATACAGTAGTTAGATCAGATATTATTACATCTGGATGCGTTGAGAGATGTATGCTGCGAGGTGGACAAGATTGTAGACGTCTTTGCCAGCGTAGTGTTGATTCATTTCCTGGAGATTCCTTAGACAGGACCTTCACAGGTGCTTTAGTAGATCCTATTCGGTCAGGTAGTCTAGTTAGACGTATTTCGCCAGTAGATTCTATTCGGTCAGGTAGTCTAGTTAGACGTATCTCGCCTGTAGATTCTTTTCGGTCAGGTAGTCTTGTTAGACGTATATCGCCAGTTGATTCAATATTGTCAAAAGGCTGTCAAAATACGTGCATTTCACGGGGCTGCAACTTCAACGAGGAATGTGTCACAAGAGATGGATGTTCTGTATGTGTTCTTGCCAAGACATACGCATAAAATAAGACAACCGAGGCCACATTAAATAGTGCAATATTTATTTTGTATTTATCCATGTATTGGTATATTTTATCATGTTTTGATACACGAATAAAACATATATTATAACAGAGTTTTATTTAATTTTTGTTCTTAGAATTTATAGATGGAAAGTAAAATAATAAAAATACCGAACTCGAAGGAAAACTCAAAACAGAAAGTTTCACACACATCAAACAATTGGAAGACAACTGTCATATTCCTGACTTGGTACATACATTTCCTAATCTAGAAAATGGTAGATTAAACCTGGTTTCATAGCTAGCGAACTTCTCACGTGTATTACAGTCGAAAAGAATTTCATTACATTGACAACAATATGTAAGCAAAACAAACAGACAGAATAGGTAAAAATGTCAAAACATTGATGTACAGCAGTCAACATTGTATTGTAATCTTAATCACTATGATAACAATGAGGAAATCATATGCCTCTAATTTTGTCAAAGTGTACAACTAAATATGAATAACAGAATCTAGATGACCTAACACTCATTATAAAACCATAAAAAACTATAATAGAATTTTCTTATATGAATTACAGAAATCAATGTATATAAAAAAAGACTGAAGCTTATCAAATTGTATTTCTTTCACACAATTTACTACATAACAAGATCGTCATTTCCATGAGAACCAGCTGTTCTCCTCATGCCGACTATTTCCTTTATTTTCATGAGTCTGAATCCATGCAGGAGCTTCTGATGAAAAATTAAGAGAAGCTAGCACTATCCTTTTACATCACTTAACGCTATAGAGTTGATGTCCTCTGACTTAATAATTCAAAGTTTGGTGACTATGCAGAACGCATCTATCCAATCGAACTTGAAACAAAGGAAACTACAGTTTCTTACAGATTTTTAAAACAGACTATCAATTCATGACAGGTCGCTATTTTGACAGCATTTCGAAACTAATAATCACGTGATATCTAATGACCAAAAATTCCTTGTACCTAGCATGACATGTCATAATAGTTAATCAGTGTTAAAATGACTTGTCAAGCTTATGGATGTTCTACCCGACCAAGTAATGAAAAAAGCCTGCATAGCTACCCGGATTCAGTAAAAAAGAAAGAATTCTACCAGACTTGGATCTGCAACTTAAGCCTTACTAGTTACCTGTTACCTGTCAGGTAGGTTCAGCCTTTCTAAGGGTCACTCCCATTGGGATTTAAGTAGGTTAATAATGTGTACATCATATACAGTTGTACATTTAAACTTTTATAAAATATCAATATGTACCAAGAACAAGGTTGTGTGTGAGGACCATTTTGAAACATCTTGTTTCGAAGGAAATTTGATGGTAATTATAACTTTTTTCTTGGCAGTTATATTAAGAGATAGTTATTGCTGTTCTGTTGTTCTCTGTTCTAAAGAAATAGTTGTGCAAAATAGTATGAACTCGAAGGCCAGGTGCTTTAAATCTATTAAAATTAATGCTAACCTATAGTTGTCAACTTCTATGTAATTTGGTCTCTGGTGGAGAAATAAAACCACACTTTTTTATTCTTATAGTTTTTTTTTGTTAACATGTTCAAGTGCTTTGGAATAGAATAATTCCCACTACGATTATTAAAATAAGAGGCATGAAAAACAGACAATATCATAAAATAAAGTAATGCTTTACTAAGATTGATAAGAATGTTTTAAAAAATACTTTACAAGACATCTTAATTATTTCAATGGGTTTATATATAAGAAATAGTCAGCGTACAATGCCAAAGTCAGGTTTAAGAACTGTAAATGACAGAAGATCGTACATCGGTTTTAACTCGTCGTTAAATTTACATTTTTGATCTGAGATATAGTATCAAGTATTATATAGGGCTTAGGCTATTATAATGTAATAGTAGTCTCAATAAAGGAAAAAAGTCCGCAGATACTTATTCTGGAGGAATAATAAACTTCGTTATGCTCTCATTTAGATTTTAAAAAGGTGTTGATTTGAGATCTTGTGAAAATAATTTTTTTAAATGCTTTTTTTTTTCTTATATTTTTAGTTTATTTTGGGTTTTACCCCTAACTTGACCAACGTTCAAAAAATTGTCTAAGGTAATCAGCATGGCTTAATTTTTACCAGGGTAGTGTCAAAGTGACACATTCGGGTATTCTAACGGTCGACTTCCTGGCAGGTTTGTTAATTTAATACACAATGAAGAAGGTTCATGAGTCGCGTTCATGATCGCGAGTGAACCAGATGTGCACAGGTAAAATTTATGAAATATGCCATACCAAATAAACTGTCCATGATATATACATCATGTGTACAACTGTGTGTCACGATTCTGATAGTAATATATAACATATTTGTATAAAGGGTTAAAATGTTATTCCAAGTTGTTTCCCGCGGTGCCAAATTTGCAGTGCAAACTGAACTTTTAGCTTATTTTTTTGAAACGTAAATAAAAATATCCGCCAACCTCAATAACAGAATGACTTCCAGATTATTGTTCAGGTTGTACAAAATAAAAGCTAGGACAATTCGGAAATAGAAATACATATGAAGTTCTGGGTCGGACCCGAAATTTCCATGACTTGTAACACGTGGGGCTCAGAGACTTAAGGGAACAAAATTTAAGAGTTGTTTAGAATATGTATAGTATAAGCCAAAATTTAGGAGTTGTTAAGAATAGGTATAGGCCTTATCCCCATGTTATTTATTTTCAATTTAACAAGTATTTATATTTCAGCACATAGTCTTCCGTTTTCTATAATTTTAGGCCCCGTTAATTCTAATCAGTACATTCCGTTTATACCTTCACATATGGTAACGGAAACAATTTTCATTTATTAAGGTCTTTGACTTTTTGTCTTGTGATTTTCTGTAAAATATTCGGAATGCATTTGTGTTATTCAAAATATATGAAACAGTTCAATGTCACAGCTGCTGATCCATCCACAAAAATGTTGAATTGCCCCCTTTCCTTTTCCCGATTTTCGGAAGTCAAATTAAGCTGTGACTTCATTTTCACTCTAGATAAACAGTGTTATATTTCAAAATGAATGCCCTTTTTTTTCCATATTTGTTCATTCATTTAACATGTGAAATATGAATATCACTTAGTAAACTTCGGACTATACAAATGCAGAATATACCGTGCAAAATACTCGTCGAAAGAGATGAGAGACCTGGAAAAAAAATATCACATCGATATTGCAAGACACCCATTAATAAGTTTGTACTTTAGAATACCAAACTTCCGCAAAAAAAGATAAGTCATTTGAATAAAATAAGGAGTTTTGGTAGGTTTGCCAATGAGACAGCTACCCAAATGAAGTGGATTTAAACAGCTATATAAGGCATATATGGCTTTCAACAGTGAGCAAAAGCAAAAGTATAATAATGCAACTAATATAAACATGAAGGATTGAAAGAGACATATTTATAAATATAGCACAGTATATATTTAGCATAAAACAGTTTGATAAAAATTCGGATATCAAATCAAATTGAATAGATGTCCATTTTACAACTATTCAGAGTCTGACGTGTCACTTTCACAATCTTTGAAGCCTTGGAAACACCATCTTGTGACGGAAATTCTTTCCTAATACTGTTTACAACACAAGCTGGTATAGTTACTCTGTTTCTCTTGCCAAGTGGTTGACCTTTCCTGACCCAACAAACAAACTGACGATAAGTCATGTTTTACCTTTGAGTTAGTACGTCTGGAGCTCTACCTCTATGGCGTTTGTACCTCCAAAAACTAATGAAGCTTGTTTCGAGAACAACCGGGTTCAGACAAACTGTTCTAAAATCGATATTGTAACTGATACAGTCACCCAATTTAATCTTAACATCGAAGACAGTAAATTCGTGGCAACATAGACATTCGGTCAATAATGGCATAACTATATATTTAGTACATGAACACCAATCAGTGTTAAACTGGCGAGGATTGCTAATGATATCAAGTTTCTGCATCTTCCATTTTATAAAGCATTAAGGCCATTAATCATTTAACACCGGGAAAATTGGAAAAAAAATCATAATGTTTTCCTAGATACTAATTTTGTCCTTCTTTTAGAAATCGTCTATTTAAATGTTTGAATATATCATTGATATCTTTTAAACTTTTGCTACAGACTTAACGCAGATAACGTAATGTAGGATTACTTATTTTTTTTTGTTTGTGCAACTTTTTTTCGCATTTTAAATACAAAAGGATAAGTGAAAAGGGATAAAAAAAGTAATTTAGTTTTTTTAATGTTTTTTTGAAATATTTATCTATGTTATTTTTGCTGCGATAATGAATAAAAAATTTAATCTTGTGTAAGCTATATACACACAAAAAATGTAAAAGCAAACACAAAAAAAATGAAGAATAAAAAATAGCAAGTTTGATTATACTTATATTTAATTATCAAACATGTGTATGTATCTCATTTAAATCATTTAATGTGTATCATTCATCAAAATTATGTTTACTTAAAAAACTGATACTCTCATCAAACATGAAAAATTCCCTGAAAGATGTTTAAAAGTTCTGTAATAAATTGTCAAAAAATATCATACGACTGTCATTGCCATGCTCGGTAATTCATTTTACTTTAAAGCTATTCAATTAGAAGTTACAATCTTATATGATAGTAAAAATAGCCCAATAGCTAAATGTTACGAGTTATTCAACTATATCAATGTTTGAAACAATTTTTACAAATGCTAAATTAAGCACTAAATTTACCAATCTTTCCACAGCAAACAAAATTGGCAACAAAAAGCAGGCAAAAAATACGAAAGCAATTATTAAACGCATCAGACGATGACAAGGCAGTAAAAATAAACCAACGAAAACAGACCAAAAGAAAAACAGCAGTTTACACAACACCACATAGAAAACTAAAGACCGAGAAACACAAACTTCACCAAAAACCGGAATTGATCTTGGTAGCTAGGAAGAATAGGAAGATCATGTTCACCCGTCGTGTTACTCATGTTAGTACAAACTCGGTGATACGTCTAATTCGGTAGTTCACATTCGGGAAAAAGGGGACAGGATTAATAATATGATTTCAATTGTTATCGTGAAAGGAGGATGCCGGGTTTCG